CGTTACCATTTAGACCCATTATTCAACAAATTCCGCAAAAAATCACTAAAAATTCAACAAATTCAGCAATTCAACAGTAATTCCGCAAAAATTCAACAGTAATTACTGTTTTAAGAAAATTCAGCAAATTCTGTTCTTACCATTTAAGTTTGATATTATTCAGCAAATTGTACAAAAAATCAACAGTAATTCAGCAAATTCAGCAAAAATTCTGCGGTTACCATTTAGACCCACTATTTCTCTAGATTAGAGATTCTTACAAAAATGCACATAAATTCATAGCCAAGCTCATCTTCGTTTCAAACCTTTGGTATCATGAAACCCGCAAAAAATATTTCACCGACTTGTTTCTAGCTAGATCTTTGGCTCGTCCTTGATTTCTTATCACATCATCTATCTTAGTGGCCAAGTGATGTGATAAGAAAACATGGACATGGACGAATCAAAGATCGAACCAAAAAAAAATCGATGAAATGTTAATAGCGGATTTCATAATACTTGAAACATAGATGAGCTCGTTCATAGGTTTAGGTGACATTTACGTAAGAATCTCTAACATAGACTGAGTGAGGATTTGCTTGCTTTTAGAGTCGAGATTTTGAGAATCTTTATTTGGACCAAAACGGAAGCTGATTCTTGGTTTATTTGCAAATCCTTAAATATATGTAAAATATTAAACGTTAATACCATACGAAGGGTTATTAGAAGCTTCTCCACCCGCCGAGGAAGTGAAATGAGTCAGGAAAAAGGTAACGACGTTCGAGAACAATTCCCTGGTTGTTACGAGGTCTAAGACTAAAAAACGTTAAGAAAGTGAAATCGCCATGAAAAGAGTTAGAAATAAGGGAACAACAATCAAGAACAACAGACCGATGGTTACGAGGTCTAGGGCAAAGAAACGTGACGAAGAAAGGTAATCGATCCTTCCTAACATTTCTTAGCCCTAGACCTGTAACAATCAATTGTTTATTCCCGTTCTTCCTAACTCTTTTCATGGAGATTTACTTCCTCCACGTTTCTTAGCCCTAGAGCTCGTAACAACTAGTGAATTGTTCTCCATCGTTGTTCCCTTTTTCCTAACTCTTTTGATGACAGTTTCACTTCCTCGGTGGAAGGCTTCTAAGAAGCTTTCGTCTAGTATTAGACGTTTAATTTTTTCTTTTTTGCATATATTTAGGGAGTTTACCTCTTTTCCACAGATATCATATCAATACATTATAGAGACTATAGGAAAACTCAAAACTCGGCAACAAGAAAATAAGGCCTCATACAAGTCTCGAATTGTATAACACACTAACCTGAAAAGCACCTTGTTCCACTGATAGATGGAAGTTATAGGAAGGGTGCACTTAGAACTTGAGTGTCTCTCTTCCTATAGTCTTTAGTACGGAAATAATTTTTTGGAATACAAATGGAATGTGAATAATAGAGTTCTCATACATGGTAGGACGCGAGAAGCCAATCTTTCATCCATTCCTAGACAATGGCCGAAATCACCATCGTAGCCGATAGGCAACACTCTTTAGAAGAAGAGACAACAAAATAAATCTCAAGCATCTTCCACTTTACCAGTCCATGTTAGATGGTTCATAGCTAGTAAGGTGGAAGAAGCATGAGGTTTATTTTGTCGTCAAGGAACTTGCTTGCTTTAATCCCCGACCCAAGAAAGACTAAGGCTTCGAATTTCCTAGTCACACACAAAAAAAAAAACCATGCACATTAGAGAAAAAGATGATCCATTATTTCACTCTTTTGCATATAAACCATTAATTATCACATTGTCTACTACTCTTTTAAGACTTGCAAAATCCATTCATGAGAATATTACAAGTCACTTCATATAGGAAGCCAAAAAAAAAAAAATACTTTGATTAACCAAACGTAGTGACTTATAATACTCTCATAAACAATCTTCAACATCTTCTTCCCAAGAGAATAAGAAATTGATCAACAACATCATAATTCAAAATTTTGTTTTTGGGAAAATCAACAATTGAAGGTGGTGAAGGAGAAGATCATCTCTAGATTTTTCATTACCTTTGCTTATTCAGAAATCTCTTCGTCGTTGAAACAGATCGTGAGTCGTAAAAGGATCGGATTCATGATTTTGGGTTCGATCTCGAACTCTGTTTCATTGGACTGTGTACGGCGCAACCCTAAAAAGGTTAACAAGTAGTATTGATAGAGTTTGTTAGTGAATGAGCGTTATTTATATGCTATATAAAGAAACCGGTTAAGTGACGGTATAAATTTATCAATTCGGTTTTAAAAAGTAACCGGGATGAACCAGTGTGCCCTAAATACGAAGAAGGTTTTAATTATTGTTTTAACTTATAAATAAAGCAGATTTCATGAGTTTTTAAACATACAAAAAATGAGAGAAATGAGAATTTTAGATAATTTCAATTAAACCAAATGGGTATTAGACATCCGACTTATTAATTTAATACTTTATTTAAATCCTTTTCTTAAATAACTGACAACGTCCAAAGGCCAATATATGCATATGCAATAATAATAGTTCCATTACAAGTACTACTAATAATAAAACAAAGCAACTACTAAACCCAATAGATGTAGAAGAGACCTCAAAGACAAACAAGCTCTGTTGTTTAAGACACTAATAAGATTTGGGTCAACAACATCTTCGTCTTGTCTTGATTTTTATACGTTTTATAGATTCAACGCATGTTCTCTCTTCTTCGGACATATCTGGTTCTGTCGTGGTACTTTGGTTTATCATTGCTTTTCGGTGTCGTTAACTCAGTGATCCTTCTCTGTCTCTCTGGAGGTCGTTGGACTACTTCTCCATTCACAAAAAGCTCAGCTGCAAATCGTAGAAGTGAGCTTAAGAACTTAAACAAACCCGAACCAAAGAACAAAAGGCAAAGGATACCGGTTTAAGATGTGTTAACTATCAAACAAACAAACCAACCGAAGCTTATACTCTCGAGGTTGAAATGTAATGCCGGAGTAGAATTGTTTCATGAAATGCATAAAGGCGGGCGCAAAATCAGATTTTGAAGTCTAATTGAGAGCAGATGTTGAAAACCAGTTCTACGCTTATTCTAGATTGGATTATGACACATTACAGAACAAACAAATATAACTGACAACTCGCTGAAACGAAACATAGCAGCATGTATTTTAAGCAAACTCTTAACAACATTGTTAAGCACTAACAAAACCCACATTTTGATGCTTAATTAATTGAGAGCAGAAATTGAATCCTAGTTCTAAGCTTAGTCTTTGATGGATTATGACACATGACAGAACAAACAGAGGACTGATAAATCACCGAAAACGAAAACTTAACTTAAAGCTAAAAATGTTTAACATATATTAACTCACCTCCGTAGTCTTTGTATTCTGGATCAACATAAGAATCTGGTAGAACGAAGAGAACACCAGGAAGTCCTGT